GACCCAGGTTTTTTCTCTTGGGCAGCCTGGCAGGAAGGTGGGAGCTGGTATAAGGAAGACTCAAGTGCCATGGCCTCAGGTGTCCTTTGACTTGGAGAGGACAGGGTAGGCCCCCAGAGAGGTGGGGATCAGACAGTAGGATCTCTGCAAAGCAGGCTCAGAGAGGGCTCTGGTCACCCTTCAGAGCCAGTCCCTGCAACAGCCGGCCCTGGTCCCAGCTGCCTGGCGGTCACATGGGCCTGCCTGCTTGCCCTGGACTCGGCACTGGACATTTATGCCCATGCCTGGAGAGCTGTCGGTGTCCTCATGCATCTCCCTTGATTGGCAGCCTTGACCAGCTGGCACCCAGGCTGTGGGGGGAAGTAGCCGACTCTTGCCGGGAAATACCTCCCGCTGCCCTGGAGTCTCCCACCTGCCTGTCTGATGAATCTGGTGCCAAGCCACCACACTCAGGCGGGCTGGGTCAGGTGCAGGGCCCAGGGCGCGCTCCTCTAGGGACCAGCTGCACCTCCCCGTCCTGCCTGGGGCTGGAGCTAGGGAAGCGGTCATGGTGTCTGATGAAACAAGGGAGAGGACAGGTTGGGAAAACCATGAGGATCCCCTCTGGTCTGTGTCTGGGCCCCCTACCGCCCTCTGTGCAGGTGGTACAGACCCGTTTCCATGCTGCCCTGGGAGGTGCCGGGCGCCTGGCTGGTCCTGCCTCAGGAACAGGGTGAGTAGCAAAAGAAAGATGTAGGCCTTTTAAATTTTCTTTGAGATGCTTGCTCCTCCCCCTTTGCTTTCAACTGCCCTGTGTTTATTGTCAGCAGTTACAGAAATGACCACATCTACGTGCTTTGCTGTAAATAAAGACTCAGCAAAAAAAAGCCGACTTGCTTCCTTTGTGGTGCTTGGGCAGGAGGCGCGGTGACGGGCAGTGGCTGAAGGAGACACGGGGGTGTTTGGTAGCCGCCCACAGCCGCCCACAGCTCAGCTTCAATCCTAGGCTGTCCCCCACACCCCACCTGGCCCCAAATTTCTCTTCTGTCCCTGACAACCCGGGGCCGACGTAGCTCTGTGTTCCCACTGCTGTCACCCTGCTTAGGTGGACACCCCCCTCGCCGCCTGCACTGGGCCATTCGCC